GGGTTCGATTCCCGGTCCAGCCATATGTTTTCTTTGTGCATTTCTCCTTTCCTACTACATTTGGTGGCCAGTGTGGGGGGCCTTGTTCAGGTTACAGTGTATGTGTAAATTAGTAATTCCTGGCAGGGCCCTAGAACTTGTGTCTTCGAGGTCGAAGACTGTTTAAGGAGGGAGGAATGTAGAAGTTCGGGCTTTACGGACCGTGGATATCGGCCTGGATAGCTCAGTGGTTAGAGCACCTGACTAGTAATACAGGGGTCCCGGGTTCGATTCCCGGTCCAGCCATATGTTTTCTTTGTGCATTTCTCCTTTCCTACTACATTTTGGAAGTTGGTCACCTAGCCAAGACACGGGATGATTTGTACCCTTATATGGTTTTAAATGGTCCTTGTGAACATTAACCACGGGAGATTGTGGGGATTTTTGAATGGAACAGGTCACCTCTGAAATAACATTTACTACTAAGTATGGGCCTGTCCAACCCAACCCCAATTTCACACCAGCTTTTGGAGGGTACCATCGCCACACCCAATTACCAATTTCAAAAGACCTTGGTTTAAGATTTTGGTCATACCCCTTCTTTTGTCTAATTGCTGCTTTTCCCAACTGACTATGAGCCAGCTCAAATGATTTATTTATAACTGACTGTACCCATTCAACATACTGAACTGAACATCTAACTTGTCTTTGATCTGGGGGTAACCCAACCATTAAGTCAAGAGGGCAGTTAATATCCCTACCAAGCATAAGGAGGTTTGATGTACACTTGGTGCTATTATGTTCTGTAGATCTATAAGCCATTAACAAATAGGGCAAATGTTCATCCCAGCTATGGTAATTTTCATCAACACAAATTGAAAGCATCTGAATGAGGGTACTATGGCACGCCGATTGGTTCAAAATTATTTTCTGCACAACGATCATGATTTTATACACGAGCTAGAAGAAAAATATACACGAGTAAAATAAAAATGCACGTATCGGTAAAAATTGCACATAATTTAAAAGATTTTTACACAAACATAACGAAAAATACACGAATCCGAAATTTTTTACACGATTAAAGGGTTAAATATGCACAAACAAAAATCGAAAATTGCACGAGCAGAGGAAACTAAAAATTACACAAACAATTTTACTGCGCATACAGCTGCGCATATCATTACTATGCACATAGAATATTCATAATGTTCTTGGTTTTCTGTACTCTTTATCTCTTCATGTATGCTAAGCTGAATGTTATCGAGAATGGAAGTTGCTTTTTTACAATCCGATTTCGAATGAAGTGTTTCCATCTGATCTATGCGAGAGTATTTAAAAGCTTTTTGAAAATACTATGTTTTTCTTATATTGACCGAGATCAAGGATGTATTATTTGATGCCGGTGGACAAAAATTGTAACAAGAATGAATCCATCGGTACGTTTGTGCTACAATGCGGGGTAAAAAAAAAAAGTACCATTGCGTATGATGCACTCGACTCCGAACTAAAAGTACCTAACGATGAACGTACAGTACGGCTGACAAGGATCTTGATTTTAAAAAATCATTTGAGGAGATTTTTTCCCCATTTCGGAATAGGAAATTAAATATTCAGTTGGCTGGATATATATAATTGTGTACATTCTTAAATTTAAAAAGTGAGGATTACCTTAGATGTACACAACGTAATTTTTATGTCAAACATAAAAATATTTTATTTCTATTTACATATGTATCAAACTTATAAAATATCCGATATCAATTTTGGTTGGATATCTGTAGCCTACTTTTTGTCATGATTTTTTCCATGATATTTTATATTTTCATTTTTAAACTTCGAAATAAAAACAAGATATTTCTTGTAAGCGTTGCCGTAATTCGTAATGGCGATTACTAGATAAATATGTTTTCATTTTTAATAAAAAAAAAAAAAGGGACCAGATAAACGGAGAATATACTTATATACTCTCTGTACATGCGCTTTGTGTTTTGTTAATTAAATTTGTCCGAATGAAATAACAAAACTCTACTCAAATAATCCTAGCTATGGAAAAACACATGATCATTGGCGGACCTGGCTCGTGGATCGATTGGAGTCCCAATATAAATTTATTTAAGTTTCAAGTTTTAAGTTGGACCATAATGACACACCAAGACTTTTAAAACATTGTGAATTACTAAATACATCTACATACAATGTTACACATAAATAAAATGGGTATGGATACTGCAGTTTGATAATAAATGGAAAGAATATAGAACTTGTTTTATCATTCTTGAAAAATGCA